TGAATTTAGCATCTTCTATGATGAATGTGCTATAAGTTGAATGTACGGATTCTAGGGAAATCTGTGTAGGATCTCATAGCTATATGATGATACCACGTTCAGCCTCCAATGCCCTCCTTTCTGACTCTACAGTGCTACTATAACTTAAGGCAATGAAAGAGGCATTTGTTCCACTAAGTTTAAAATTGGTATTTGTAAAACCATTGCAGAGGTTGGCTTTTTCCATCAGAAAAGATTCTAGATTTGTCACAAATCATCCCTGGAGCAGAGACCCTGGTGAGATGTATTCCCTTTATTTACCCTTCATCCTTACACAGGAATCTTGTATCTCAATGAAAAAAAAAAAAAGATAGATCTGTGATTGTATTAGCTCTAATTGAAGGCTTCTGTCCTACTATGTAAGTTCTTTAAACTAAAGAGGAGCCTAGATCATTCAAAGTCCCCAGTTGACATCCAGAGAGAGAGAGAAATTTTGGCATTGAGTCTGGATCATGAGATGTACTGACATTGAATGGCTTCCGTTCATCCAGTAATGAGCAAAGAGCCATTCTAGTTGCCATATTCAATGCTTGGATTACTTGGCTTTAAATATTTGTTAGATCCTTAAGTAAATGATGTGGTAGAGAACTTCTCCATCATTCCTCTGGAATCCGCACTCAGGCCTCCATATTCATTACAGACAAACACACAGAGAGACAGACACACATCACATCACTTCACCTCACATCACACCACACACACACACACACACACACACACACATTGTAACTATTTTTTTTAAAGCACAGGGTTTTTTTCTAGTGCCTTTATGATAAACAATTTTGAAATGCTGTATCCTTCATATTGGTCTCTGTCCATCCAAATTCTGTTCTCTCCTATTCCCACTTTTCCTCCTATTACATTTGTCCTTGGTCTTTATGAGATTTATCACAAAGACACCATAATCCTAGAAGAGAAAAGAAGTTATCTATAACAACAGTTCTCAGAACATTGCCAAGTAAGCCATGTTAAGAACTTTTGATAGACGTTGTCCTCATGCCTTAGGCCAGTAAGATAAAATCAATAGAAGAATTGAATGGAAATTGTAGTCTGTAGTTTCTGCTGAAAAAAATATCTCCTGTTTTTCTATACAAACCCAACTTTCCTTGGATCATAATATCCAAGCTGAAGAAAGCAAAAAGCAATAGAAAGGAGGAAGAAAAGGAACAGGAGGAGGAGAAAAAAGAAGAGAAGGAGGGAGAGAAAAAATGGGAAACAAAAAGAAAAATGTGTATAAAATTGTAAATAAAGAAAAGTTTAACAATAAAATTATTTTGAAAAGGGCTAATTACCTTTCTGGAAATGATAAATCTTATATTATAAATCATGAAGAGTATGTATGGTTGGGCCGGGGATTTAGCTCAGTTGTTCTGTCACCTGCCTTGCAACCACAAGGACCCTAGTTCGATTCCTGGTACCAAAAAAAAAAAAAGAGTATGTATGGTTAAATTTTTAAAAAGGAGAACCATCAATGAATGGAATAAATACAAAGTGAAGAAAAGGAAATATTTAGAAACATGGAAAAGTGAATAGCAAATGTTTTTTAGAGATCTTGAGGTAAAGGAGAAATGAATGAGAGGTGGAGATTTGGGAGAACATCCTAACAAGTTTAACATGCCTGTAATAGGTAAGACACTATGTGATTTTAAGAACGTAACATGCAACCTGTATAACTTTATTTGCTGATTAAAATAATCATGTTTGACATATTAAAATGTATCGTTGTCTCATGTTACAATTTTTAAAAAATAATCAGCTACCAACTGTTGAATTTACTATATGTTTATGAGAAATAAGATGAAAAGTCACAAATTTTGTCACGTAGCAAATGATATCAACTGGCCTTTCAGGTTTGGGGCCTATTGAATAGGTTCAATACTGCCATTCAATACTGAATGGCAAAAGTAATACTTTTTTTTCTGTTTAATAGATATAGAAATATTTTTTAAAAATGCTAAGGAGCAGAAAGGGAAAATAAACCTCTCTAAATCCAACTTTTGCCTCATAGGTATTTGTCTAATAAGAAAAATATCAACATGAAATATTTAGGTTAAGTATCTGCTTGCCACTGGTTAACTATATTTGCTTAGAATGGTTATTTCCCTTCTCTGAGCCCTGAGTTTCATTATTAAAATGAATGAACTCCATTAGAATTTGTCTGTTTCTAATTTAACATGGCACTTGAAAACCACAGAAGCAGATACTGTGGTTCTCCACCCAAAATGCTCCCTCCCAAAGTTCTTTAGGAATGAGGCATTGCTTCTTCCTTTATCTCTGGAGTGGTTAAAGTTCTTACAGGCATCCCACTCTAGGAATTGACCTGGATCAAAGAGAGCCACCTACTTCAAGATTATGCCCTGTTCCTGGTAGTAACTTGTAACCAGTGAATAGTTCAGTGACAAAGATAAAGTCTGGCCCTCTTAGCTCAATTCAGGACATCTCTACCTGGCCACCTCAGCCCTACAGTTGTTCATGGCATCAACTGAGGTCTTTGTGGCAACCACAGCACAGTTTAATTTCTTCCTCGTTCCAATCCTTCTTCCTTTAGAAATTCTTAGGGATTCCCTAACAGGTGTTGAGCCTGAGAGTATGCCCCAGTAAACTTCATGTCCAATAAATCTCCACCTCAGGGTCTGTTTCTTCAGGAATCTGACATGGGACAGGCATTAAATCTCTGTTAATTTCTGTGAAAATAGCAGTGCATCCTGGAAGTAGAAATGTTTTATTTTGAAATTTAGATTGTTGTTCTAGTAATGAGGAATTATAAATCTGATACTATTTTCTAATAATTATATCTGTAAAAAATGCTGAATGTTATAAAATTATTTGTTAGCAATAAAAGTCTGGTAGGAATATAGAAATGCTACATGTTAAGATTGTCAATCACTCCTGTAACAATAAAAAGTATATATTATTTAAAATGTATAATTTTTCCAAAAAATTGAATTTTTTAAGTCTTTCTTCTCTAGGAAACATAAAGCCTAAAACCAATAACTGAGAGAGGGATATAAAAATGGGAGAAAACTAAAAAACTAAGACAAAACTAAGACAGGGATTTTATTAACCGTAGAAGTGAAAACAAAATATTCATCAGAACCAGAAAATTAAGTCAAATACAAATAGAAGAAAGTACCAATACATTTTTTAAAACCCTCAGAACTAGCGAGAAAGAAAATTAAAACAAATCATAATAAATGCCACTGCTTGACACTTTCAGATCTTACAAAGCTAAACTAAATTTTTATATTCTTTCCTGAATTTGATGAGTTTTTTCATTAAAAGTTTCTTTCAAGAACTTTTATTCTCTCCCCAGTTTTTTTCTTCTGCCAAGTCCCTATTGTTTTTCCACCTAACATATAAATGTCTACATGTCCAGTACCAATAGTTTTCAGTGAGACAAGCCAATACATTTATTTCTTATTGGAATACCTTCCCTGTTCACCTCAGAGTTTACTTTTGGATAATTTCTGCATCAGTCCATTTTTCTGTGTTATTCAAATAAACAATCAGAGAAATCCTAAACTGAGATTGACTTTGAGAAGGCATTTAACAGTCAGACACATATTCTCTAACATAAATTCAATCACCTCCTCCCCAGTTCAGAAATGAACTATCTCCCGAACAAATGTAGATGTTGCAGAGATATTTCAGCCTTGGCAACCAGGACATTGTGGATCCTAGTAAAGTAGCAACAGCTGATTTTGTAGCCATGGAATGATTCTGCATCTGATCCCTGTCAGGATAACAGAGGGTCTTATTTACAGTCTCTTGCTTTGGTTCTTCTAAGTAGGTACTGTTTTCTGTTTACTTATCCTCTAGCTTTAGGCCCAGGAACAATGTTGAACACACTGTCACTGGCCCTGGTGCCAGACTGGATCAGGGGCTCTGGAATATTTACAGTTTCCCTTCTTCTGCTTCCATAAAAGAAATGGACAGTCTGAAAGAAGAAAATCAAGGGCCAGCTGGCTGAAAACACAACTGGCAGCAAGATGCTTGGGCCTCTTCCAAGAGCTGGTGTTTCAAGAGAGGCCATTTAAAGAGTAAATTCCAAACTATCACAGTAACTGTCCAGAACACTAGCTCTAAGAAAAAACAGTAAAACCTTAGTCAAAACAATTTTCATTTCCAAAGTTTGGAATTCCTTTGCCCTAAAGAATTTACTAGTCTTGGAGTAAATCCCTTCAAATAGCCAACTCTTTATACCCACAATAAAGGACAAATATGTACTGGACATTTTGAGAATGTTAAACAGATTTCATGCCATGGTGGCCAAAGTCTTATTTTTTGCTTATATTCATTCATACAAAAATAATAAAAATTTTAAGAAATTGAGAAGAAAAAAAGAGAAACAAGAAATGATCTAAGAGTGTAGATGGAATAACCTGGAAGCCAGCCAAACACAACTAATTTGAGAGGTTGTTAATATATTAGAAGACCAACTGACAAAGAAAGATTTTCTTTTTGTTTAATTGTTACTCTAACTTTTGTATTTAAAAATGCAATAATCTTCCTGAAGAAGAGGTAGATCACAGTGAAGCATTAGAAATCTAGTAGATAAGTGCTACTTTTTTTTCTTGCTAGGCTCTGATACGGGCAACCATGGGCTCGCCATTATTTAATCCCAGAATCTCTGTTGGGTGCTAAATCAAGAAATACACACAGCACCATATTCAGAGAGAAAAATCTATAATCCAAACAATTGTGTACATCATGAGATCATCATTTTTTGGATATCCCAGAAGCGCATGAATTTGAAAGTGATTTGAAAGTGATTTAGCAAAGCTGTCTCTTTTTTTATATGTAAACACATACATACACAGAAGATTAGAAAGAGAAAAGGAGGAGGGACCCAGAGAAAAAGCCAAGGTTCAGCCAGGTAGGTGGCCCATCGGGAGTCTTTGATGCTATAATCCTGGAATAGACAAAGCCAGTGGTCTGAGACCCCCCCCCCAAGGTGTTACCTCGATATAGGGCACGATCTTGCAGGAAAAGTCCTCCAGCAGCCACTTCTTGGTCAGCTCATGGAAGATGACAAGTGGAAGGCAGAAGAAGATGATAAGAAAGTCCCAGAAGGCCAGGTTGGCCAAGAGGGAATTGGAGATGCTCCGCATGTAGTAGTTATGACACACGATGCACATCACCGCCAGGTTGCCAATGATGCCAGTCCCAAAGATCACCACTGATAAACACATGACCGCGTAGGCTCCGTAGGACTCCTGGGTCAGCGGGTAGAAGGGGTTCTTCAGTCTCACGCGCCGGTTGGTGCTGTTCCCCCGGCCTGGACCCCCGCGCTCGTGTACATCTTCACTCGAGGATCCATTCTGGGGTAGCGCCCTGCCAGGGGGTGCAAGTGTCCGCCCTTCATGGACCGCGGGTCCACTGACGGACTTGGGTGGGGGGTTGTGGTGGGAACTCCGGGATTTCCCTGCTCTCCCCGGCCAGTAAAAAAGATCACTGGCTCCGGGTTCCGTTTTCACATTCTGCTCCTGACTGCTCCAGGAAATGCTAGCCCCTCTGGAACTCCTCTCTTCCTCCTCTGAGGCCTGAAGGAGGAGTTGGAGGGCCACGGGGTCCCCTCTCCCTAACTCTCCAGGGTGCTCCTGACCCCGGCCGCTTTTCCACTTCCAGGCGCCAGGTGCAGGTCCCGCGGGCCCAGCTGCCGACGCCTCCGCCCCTCCGCCCGCACCTGGGTCACCGCCTGTGGTTGCCCGGAGGTCCCAGGAGGGCGCTGCGCGCACCGCCGCCTCCGTCTCCTCCCGGGGCAGCCGGACTCGCAGAGCGTCTCCGGCAGAATGTCCCGGTCCCCAGGCATCCCTGTTGCGGCGTTGGGTCAGTGCAGGTGAACAGCTCTCCCCCAGACAAGTTTCATTTCTGGCCACAGGAGCAAACCCAAGGGCAGAAGAGACAGAAATCTTGAGCAATAGTAGAAGCAGAAGCCGCGACGTGCGAGCCAGGAGTGCGCCCTGATCCCTCATGGCTTGGCGAGGGCGCACCCGGCAGCCTCGCGGTCTTTCAGATCCCACACCTGCTGCCTAACTTGCTGCTGAGAGTTAGACACATGTCCCCCACTCACCCACGCCTGGGCAGCGGGAGATTAGGGGAAAGCAGGGGGCCGGTCTTGGGGTCACACCCACCTTACAATCCTTCCTCTTTCGACGTCCTGTGCATGTCTCAGCCACAACCAATCCAAGTTCTGTGTACCCACAAGCGTCGGAGAGGGAACGGCTACTCCGGGTGGGTGGCTGACCTTGAAAAGTTGCAACCAACACCTGATTGTTGATTAATGTTGAGACTGAACGAAGTCCGGACGAAGCCCCACGCTCCTCCCTGCCTTTGGGTAGTGGTTGCCTTCTTCGTTACAGTTGCTCTGCCTATTTACATCCTCTCGATACTGTTTTATCCAGTTCCAAGCCTCTGTCTCTAGAGAGAAAGAAAAACAAGTCCTCCTCCCCCAGATGAATGGCAGCCACGATCCAGTCCCCTGATCACTGGAAACAGGTTGCAGTCAGACGCAGGGCCGAAAAGGGAAAAGTCTTGTCCCACCGAACCCCAGTGATTCTAAGGGCTACTGATGTCAAGAAGAAGCCAGATTCTAAACCCACAACCACTGTCAAAGTTGCTTGTCCAGCAGCTCAAAGATGACGAGGGGGCGGCACAGGCTGCAAGGTCGATTGCCCCAGGGGAGAAGGGAGTCGCTGGGCGCAGCGGAGGAAGAGGGTGCTGGCCCTCAGTGGACTGTGTCGCCAGAGGAGCTCGTCCCTCCCACCGCGGGCGCAGCCCCTGCGGAGCGTGTGGTGCCTGGAACCGCCGCGGGCGAGGCAGTGCCTGGCCGGGAAGGGGGAGGTGGCCCGGTGTTTCCCCGCAGCTCCAGCCACTGCGCGCGCCCGCGTGCCCGAAGCTCCGCTGTTTGCCTCCTCCCTCTTCTCTTCCTCCACCAAGGGGTGATTCTGGCGTGTGGGGCACGGGATCCCCTGATGGTTTATCACTCACTAAACCCACGCACGTTTCATTCAAGCCATTTGGAGCAGAGAGGGAACGACAGCGAAGGAGCGGAGCCTCCCCGACTGTTGGGCCTGGGGGATGAACTCCCAGGTTAATTCCCCAGATAGAGGAACCAGCCTAACCGGTCCCGGGGCGGGGCTGGGGAGGGGAGCTGGGAGGAGTAGGGGACGGAAAGCTGGGGACCCGGAGGGAGGAAAGGGTGAGAGCCGCGAAGGCGGTGCGCATCCCCAGGCCTTAGACCTCAGAGAGTAGTAAAGTAAGGCGTCCAACTCCAGATATTACCCAGGGCTGAGACCCGAGCGGAGAGGATTCATCCAGGGAGAACGAGAGGGGGATGCAAAACAGGAGCAGCCAGGATGTACCACTGCCTTTATCACTGACTTAGGACGCATCCTACCAAGGGTTACTTCCAACCACCCAGAGCACAAGAAGTTTTGTTTGGTGAAGTCCAGAGAAATGACAGGAGGGGGAAATTTACTTCAACAGAACCCTAGCAAGCTATGTCTTCCAACCTTTATACTATCCCCATCGGTCTGTCATAGCTGCCGGGTTGGAGCTGATAAACAAGTATCGGACAAACTGGTGACGAGAAAATGATATAGGAAGAAATGAACAGTGCTGAAATTAAAAAATAAAGACAACACATCTAGAGATACAAGAGAAAATATAATGAAGAAATGTTAAATGTGGGCTTCCGAAGGACATCCATCCGCATCCTAATCCCTAATCCTTGTGAATACAGGACTTTTCGGATGATCTAGAGATGGAAAGAATACCATAGGCTATCCTGGTGGGTACATTATAATCATAAGGTTCCTGAAGTGGGAGGCCAGAGGGTCAGAGGGTCATATGAGCCATCTCTGGAAGCAGGAACAGGGAAAGAAGAGGCGCTGGCCCCCATTTGAGACTTCTGATCTATACATTTGGGTTGTTTTATGCCACTAAATTTGTGGTTGTTCATTTCAGCAGCAATGATAAACTAACACGCAACTTAATCTAAAAATGTAGGCATCAAGGACAGTTTTATAAGAAAATACAAATTACCAAAAAAATAGCTCAGGAAGATTTTCAGAAACCTAACAAAATTATAACATTAAAAGAATCAAATCATTTGTAGAGATCTATCCAAGAAACCACCAGACCTTGATATATCCCAAGGAATATACATCTATACAAAATGTTTGAAAGTTACCCAATGCATATTATAAAAACAGGATAACTTTAATATCAAAATCAGAAAAAGAAAGGAAAAAACATGAGCTAAAAACTCATATTCATTTATACCTTCATTTATTCATTTATATACATGAATTCTCTCAAATTTGTTAAATGATTAAAGAAATACTCTCCTCCAGTTACTTAAGGCAGAGCAATGAATAAAATGAAGTCCTACTCTCACTAAATTTATATTTTCCTGGGAGAGGCAGGCACTGAATGAATAAATAAATAATATTATGACAGATAAGAAGTGCTATGAAGGAAAGAATGGAGAGTAAGGAATAGAATGATCGATAGAGAGAGCCTGCCCTAAAGGAAAGACACCACTGTACCCTACCACATTTCAAGATTTTTATAGCTGTTGTGTTAAAAATAACCTGATGTTAGTACGAGATGCCTAAATAGACCAATAAGGTAGGACAGAAAACAATGAACTATGGGTAAACTTATGTGGGAATTTTACAAAGTAAGAGAACTGTCATAAATGGTAGGAACAGTTGCACCAGTCAATGAATGGTACAAGAGAAAGTTACCAATGCTGGTGGGAAAGATGAACTTACATTTGTCTCTCCATACTATATATATAAAACCAAGGTCAGATTAAGGATCTAAATATGAAAATTAAGTATTTAAAACTTTGAGGAGAAAATCTGGGGCAATATAATCAAGATATTAGAGTAGGAAACGTTTCCTACATAAGATTTAAAGAGCAAAAGCATAAAAGACAATAGTGATTAATAACACTATCTTAACATTTTAAGTTTCAGAACCAATAAGGAAACTACGGTCTGGCAACTGGCTGCAATCAGACTGTGGTATGAAAGTGTAATGAGATCTGGTGCTGCTAATTAGGAAAAAAGAGCCTGGCTTCAACTGGTCTTCTAAAAACACAAAATAATGGTATGGTGCAAGTTTACAATCACAAGAAAGATCTTACAAAATTAGTATGCAGTACACTTTTTTCAGAGCTGAGTTATTGTTGTATGTCATCATAACAAAATGACCTGATGTCTTCCGAATGGCGCTTTCAAAGAAGTGACCCAGTCATCCTGCATCTAATTGTGCAGTGTCTGGGGACGATCCTCTGAGGCCAAGAGAAGCAGGTGTCATGGAGATGCCTAGGAATGGTGTGGTCTTGAGGTGATTTACCACTATTGTGTCATATTCTTTCAAATAAGCCATATTCCACAGAGCTCTTTATAATTTTAATCTTATCTTATGAAGCCCAGACAAAAAGATTGGCATCCAATGTCTACAACAACATCTATAAATTGACATGAAAAATAAGTTGAAAATTTCTAGTTAAAAAATGATGGGCAGAATTTTGCTTTAGTTTTTTCATAGAAATAAGAAGACTGTTTTTAAAAAATATTTTCTTTGTTAATGTCTACTTGTATTACATTGAAATAAAGTTCAAAAAGTGACCAGCAAAGAATGAGACCAGAATTTACAGAAGAGAAAATACAAATGTATTAGTTACTTTCTTCTTGCTGGGATGAAAAACATGACACCTGCAATTTAAAGGAGGAGAAATTTAATTTGGCTCCCTTCAGAGTTTAGTCCATGCTCAGCTGGCACTAAGGGAGAAACATCATGGTAGAAGGGTGTGACAGAGAAAAGCTGCTCATCTCATGGCAGTCAGGAAGCGGACAGAGGAAGGAGGAGCCAAAAGCAAGAAAATACTCTTCCAGGTCACTCCCCAGTGACCTGCCTTTTCCAACTAGGTCTCACCTCCTAACATCACATTCTGCACATATGGTGCTCCCACAATCCAATCACCTTCCAAAAGTCCCAACTCCAAATACATGAGACTTTGGGGGGACACTTTTTTGGTTGTTTGAGACAAGGTCTTGCTATATAGTTCAGGGTGGCTTTTAGCTCATTAGATAGCCCAGGCTGGCCTTGAACTTGCAAGGATCTTCCTGCCTCAGCCTCCAGATTGCTGGGATTACAGGCATGTGCCACCATGCCCAGTTTGGGGGACATTTTAGATCTAAATCATAATGCCACGTGGCCAATAAAATGAGGAAAGATCCGCAATCTCACAAATAAATTAATCTCACAATCTCAATCTTATAAATTAGAACACTGATGAAAGAGAACGATATCCCACAATACAAGAGGATAGGAAATGAGAACTTTCATGTTCTGTTGTTCAAGAAAATAATTTGTCAATAATTTAAAAGTGTTGAAAGTTTATATTCTCTGAACCTGAAATACTGCTTACAAATATAAACCCTAGTGGAGCTCTTGCATGTGGCACAAGGAAACCTCCACACTTGCTTTTAAGAATAAAAAGGGATAGAAACAATAGAAATGTCAATCAGAGCAGGAATGGAAAATATAATTACAGTGTATTCCAAAACAGAACAAACAAGACTATGTATCTAACCAGACTGAATCACAGAATCATAAACAAGAAAAAAGCAGTTTATCTCTATTGTCCCACATTTTGTGTAACTCTTAAAATGCACACAAAATAAGTTACATAATATGACATGGTATCTGAATGGAAAAATACACATCAACTCCAGAATATTAATCATGTTATGAAAGAGAGGAATGGGAATGAGATGGGAGGAAGTTTTTATTATAACTGCAGTACTTTGTTTCTTTAAAAAGAATTCAGGATAGGTGTGGTGGCACAGGCCTATAATCCCAGAACTCCTGAAGGCAGGTGCATTGATCATTCCAGCCCACCCTGGGCAATTTAAAGGTTTAATAAGACCCTGTCTGAAAATAAAACAATTAAGAAATGCTTTTGATGTAGTTTATTGCAAAAGCCCTGAGTTCAATTTCCCCTGGGATGGGGGAGGATAGAGAAAGAGCTCTGTGTTGATTCTGAACAGGGGGAAAAAAGTTGCCAAAAAATGTTGATCCTGCTTCCCCTCTTATTTCATTAGTGTGGAGTTTGGGTTAGGTATGTCAGCTATTTTCCTATCCTTTTTAAATCTGGACACTTTAAGTGTAACACTTATTTCCACCCCTATCCAAGGAGGAATTAGAATCAAATTTGAACAGGGAAAAAATATCTGTACATCCTTCCTAGAAGCTCCTGTGCAAATTTCACTCTTGGCCTGAGCTGGGTATTATTCTCAAAGCGGGGGGCAAATGCACTCAAGGAACTAGCTTCCCAGAGTAGTTTTCAAAAATGCTGGAGGCAGGACTGGTTGTGTTCTTGGAGATGACACCTCTTTATTCTTAAGTAGCCTCCTCAAACTGAACAATGAAATCTTACTACTTGGATGGCTGCCATGTCCTGGCTCCTTAAGTACAAATTTGTTCTGACCATGAAAAAAAAAAAAAAACAACCCACAGGGACCTCCAGCCACACTATTGGAAACTAGCACAATTATTTTTCTTTCTATAAATACAATTTTCTAATCTTTAAAATAAGGATAGTCATACATGCCCTTAGCTCTGCCTACTTAAGTCATTATTTTAAAGAGATATGAAGATTTCATAAAGTGTAAAATATTAATTGTTGTTACATTTAGTAGT